AACGTTTGATCATTCGTCTTATTTAAAAATTAATTTAATTATTATTTATTTTATTGTGACTTGATTCATCATCAAATGTTCTTTAAGCATGACATAAATATTTTCATACTTGCACAAAAATTTTAAATAAAATGAATGGTCAAACGTTGTGTAAAAAGTCAACGGCGTCATACATTAAAATATGGATGAAGTAATAATTAATAGCTAGGCGTAGATATGATATCCCAGAATTAATTTCTGACCACGACAATATATTGCAGGTGGTCCAACTTCCTGTGGCTCGCTTGCAGCTGAGGGGATCGATCAGCCCGATCTATGAGCCAAACTATCTAGATACTCCTAATTTGAGAGCTATCTACTTGTAAATTATACTATGCATCATTGATATATATAGGCCCAATGCTCCAATACACAACACAATAAAAAATCTTGTAAAGAGACTGGTGGTTATTGAAATTTAATTACTCCAACCGTTTTAAAGTATATGGTTTAGTTTTGTCTTAAGTCAAACATTTCTGTTGTCGCGAACCATTAAAAAATATAAGAATTTCTAAAAGTTTGTAGTCAAAGATATACCTATTTAACTTAGGGCAAAACTACAACGATAAAACTAATTTGAACGGATAGAGTATATTTACGATGACAGAGGGAAAAAAGAAAAAAAAATAACCAACATCCTCCAAGACTAGAGTGTGCTTATATCTTCCGCATGCAAAAAAAAAAATCCAAAAAAAATAAAAATCCTCAAAAATCAAAACTCAAAACCCTAGCTAGGTGTCGTATGCCAGCGGCTTTGTCGCCGTCGCCCTCACCTCCTCCACCGAGCTCCTCCCAACGGCCGTCGCCATCGGATCCACATGGGGGAGGGCGAGCTCACTGCCGCCATTGCCACTCCCAAGCCTGCCGCCACCGCTCTCGCCGGCTACCGTCATCGCCCCGAGCCCGCCACCGCTACTCCGCCCCTCCCCCGTGGCCGGCCGCTCTCAAACCCGCCGACGGCGCTCCCGCCCATGGCTGGTAATCCCGAGCTTGCCGCCGACACTCCCAACCAATGCTAAGGAGAATGAGGGAGAGAGATGTGGGAGGAGTGGATAAGAATGGAGGAGAAGATAAGGAGAGAGAGAGGGGGGGAGGAGTGGATAAGAATGAGGGAGTGGGTAAACTTTTTAAGGTGAAGACCTATTAAGAGGTTGTTTTAAAGAGTCGTACGAGAAAATGCTGGGCAATTTTTGCAAGCGCGACTAGATACGGTCCGCCTGCAACCTATAGGGTCCCTTGTATAGAAAAGAGTAAAGTCCATCACCGGTCCCTAAACTTGTACCGCTGTGTTATCCCGGTCCCTAAACTTGCAGATCACTCGTTTAGGTCCTCCAACTTGTTCAGTTGTGTCACCCCGGTCCCTAAACAGGACGGTCTAAAAACTTTATATCAAAAAATAATTCATAACTTTTTCATGTGAACTCTAATGAAGACAAACTTTATATTAAAATTATAGCCCTCGACGCAACCTACAACTTTGTAGTTGAAAAGTTTTTGAATTAAAACTGTTTAGGGTCCCAAAATATTGTTGCATGTTTATCGATTTTGAAATTACATTTTGGGACAAAAAATGACTTAAAATAAAAAAAATTCAACTACAAAGTTGTAGATCGCGTCAAGGGCTACAAGTTTGATATAAATTTTGTCTTCATTACAGTTCACATGAAAAAATTATAAATTACTTTTAAATATAAAGTCTTTAGACCGTCCTATTTGACCCAGATGATATTCAAATCCAAGTTTAGGGACCGAGGAGACACAACTGAACAAGTTGGAGGACCTAAACAAGTGATCTTCAAGTTTAGGGACCGGGATAACACAGTCGAACAAGTTTGAGGACCTGAACGGTCGATTTGCGAGTTTAGGGACCGGGATGACACAGCGGTACAAGTTTAGGGATCGGTGATGGACTTTACTCTATAGAAAAAATCAATTCTACGGTAGTGGATATCATGGTAATATTTTATTCCTCAACCATATTCTTAGATTAATTAAGCATAAGTAGCCTTTGGTGTAAATCGTCACTGGGAAGCCAGATAAAGTGCAATAAGCCAAAAAGGTATGAGATATATATAATGCATACATGTTTTTCATCACTAGTACAAAACCGAACATCCCAATCGGCCCATCTGCGAGAGAGGTGAGCGGCCCGTTACAGAGGCACTCATCTTTGTCGGGCACCCAAAAACCCCATTACAGAAGCACCGAGGGAGGTAGTATATTAGTCCTCTATCACTATGACCCTCATCGGTGACGGGGATTGTTTGCGGCTCGTTCAAAATATATATATGGTTAGACTTGTCTTAAAACCTATATAGTTCAAAATATTATAACTTTGCTATGTTTTTATAAGCTAATATAGTTTTGGATGTCAAAACCATCCAAAGCGCCTTTAAATTATGATAGTATTACCCTTGATTAGAGGATTAATTTTAACCTTTTTGCATTTTCTTTGTAAGGAAGGATTTTAAAGAGTTGAGAGATTTATAAAATGTTTATGGTTGATGAATTGATTTCTAGACTAGTCGGATATGATAGTTGTGGATGGTAAAATGAAATTTACTATTTCGAAAATGGTCTTTCAAATCCCAGTTATCATGAATATTATACATATGCAGGTGGATTTTCAACAAAACATTAGTAAGATCAGGAATATGTCCTCGTTTTTGTTTCTTCGAGTATTCCCCCCATCCAGAGAAAAACCAATCATGAGTGTCCAGGTTCATATCTAGAATTGGGTTTTTTTTTTTTAACGGAAGGAGTATGTGTTAAGAAACATTTTCGTGGGGGTGTTAGTGTGATGTTGTATGTGTAGTGGTGTGTATACGTGTACTTGTGCACCTGCCATGTAATAGAAAAAGAAAAAAGAAAATGGTCTTGCGGTGCCATCAATTGCTGGTCGGGTCGGGCAAACCAAAATCCTGTGCCTTTTTGGTGGAGTGTAAGTGACTCATAGTAGAGTTTCTGTTGGTCCGGCCACTTGGCCACTGAAATTCATTACTAGCCAGCAAAGTAGTTCACAAGCTGAAGTGAAAGCTTCTTTTTTTTTATTTTAATTTGTGAAGAAATAGAAGTGGAACTGAAACAGCGTATGCATTCCCGTTAATTTCTATATACAAACTCTTATTAATAGTTCGTGTGTAGGGGTGATAATAGTTCTAACTTTTTGGCATACAAAATTTAAAAGCTGGGTAAAAAAAGATTGAGCTAAAATTTATTATATTTTTGTGCTAAAAATATTTAAGAGTTGAGGTGGATTTTGAAAGGGCCCATGGGGCCTGACTCTTTACATCTGTATTCGTACTTACTCCGGATCCCCCGTTCCAGCAAGATAAGCATGGTTTGAGAAGGAAAGCCCATAACGCTCCTTATTTTTATTTGAATGAAAATAGGAGGATGGTTAGGGCAGTATGGAGATAAATTTAAGAGCCTCGAATCGCATGAATAAAAAAAACGAAGGAATAGGAAAAACACATGATTCTAACGGGAATGGAAGTGTAAAATAGAGGATTGCAAAACACAGTAAAAATACGGAAATGACCATTTGATTGGACTGTAAGAAAAACACAGGAATCGAATAAGAGAGATAGACCCAAAGGAAATTTTCCAAGAGATTTGAACTTTTGCTAAGTTTCTCTAAAATCTCTATAGAATTGCCCATTCCATAAGAATTTGAAAAGATTCGATATAATTCAATCATTTGATTCAAAGACATTTAGAGGAATTTTTCCTACAAAATTGAAACCCTCCGAAATTCATATGTTTTTCCTTCAAATCAAAGGGGCCCTCAGGTTAAAAGTATTTTGAGATAAAATTTTACCATAAGAACGCAACTATTATGGACGGAGGTAGTACTCCCTGCGGTTGCATAACTCTTGATGTTTTGGACAATAACATGTTCTTCAAAACATATTTTTAACTACGATTTTCTATTATAATGTACAATAAATAAATAAGTATTTAATTATATTATAGTACCTTTTAATACTAACCTATATATGTTATTGTAGTGCCTTAAAACTAAATATTTAGAGTTATTGATAGTCAAAGTTTAAAAATTTTTATCACAACCCTTATTCAAAACGTCAAGAATTATAAAACCGGAGGAAATACTCCTTTCCAAGTTGGTTGGCCGTTACTCGTTACAAGCTATACTGCCATCACGCTCTTAAATGCATGCCAAAACATAATTATTATCAGGTTCATGCATTCATGCACTTTTAATTATTGCATTGAGCTGGATCGAGTTAGTTGATCTGCTATATCACTACCAATTACTTGTACTGTACTAGCTAGGAGTACTGTATAACATAATGGTATAGGATTGAGATCCAGTGGTATACTCGGTTCATTTTTTAATGTATAATATTGTTGATCTTGATGTAATGTTTAATCATGGTCTTACTAATATATATATATATATATATATATATATATATATTGTTTTATCATCCAAAAAACTATCTTAACTTATACTTTCACAAATTTATATTGATAAATTAATGGTTAACTGTTATATGCAAAAAAAATTAACTGTCTTATACATTAAAAACCGAAGATAGTAATAATTAATATTACTTTCTCATGTAATGCATGGTGCTGATTACATATATGTGTTTCAGATCATGTGGTGAGCAGGCATATTTATTGTCCTTTTTGTCATAATCTGTTAATCTTTGGAAGTCGAATTTGTAGTCACATCTTTACGAAGTGATATATTCCAATTTTTTCAATATTAATTTATGTTATTAATTTTAGAAATATATGTATAACTACTAAATTAGTTAATATGTAATAAACGAGTGCACGTCTGCTCGGGAGATTAACCCGCGTCTACCTAAAATGCGGGCACCAAATAAATAATTTAGCCAAAATTAAGTCAATCGGGGAACGTTAAACCTAGCCAATAAGGCTAATTAATTAACATGCGGACTACTATATCTATATATATATATATAAACATGTAGCAACATGAATGTACATTAGCCCAGGCGCCCAGCAGCAAGCTGTACCTAGCAAGCGACAATGGCTACGGGGGCGGCGCCGCTCTGGTTCACCTCGCTGGCCGGCCTCGGCGCCGCCTACCTCACCGTCGTCTTCCTCCGCCTCCTCCCTTACCTCGCCCTCTACCTCCGCCGGCCCAAGGACCTCCGCCGCTGCTACGGCGAGTGGGCCGTGGTCACCGGCCCGACGACGGGGCTCGGGCGATCCATGGCCATGGAGCTCGCCCGCCGCGGCTTCAACCTCGTCCTCCTCGACCTCGATCGGGATAACCTCCGCGAGGTGTCGGAGGCGATTCGCGAGGCCCACGCCGGCGCGGTGGCCACCAGGACGGTGGTGTTCGACCTGTCGACCGTCGGCACCGGCGCCGGCGAGGAGGGGATGCGGCGGCTGAGGGAGGCGGTGGACGGGGTGGAGGTCGGGATGCTGGTGAACAACGCCGCCGTGGCGAGGCCCGGGGCGCTCTACTTTCACGAGGCCGACGTGGAGCGGCTGGTGGCGATGATACGGGTGAACGCCATGGCGCTGACGGCGGTGACCGCCGCCGTGCTGCCGGCGATGGCGAGGCGCGGCCGGGGAGCCATCGTCAACGTCGGCTCCGGCTCCACCGTCGCCGTCCCGTCTTTTCCCTTGTACACTGTCTACAGCTCCACCAAACGGTACAAATGCGATACGCTACGCATGCGAGCGTTCAATATTTCGGAACTAAATTTCTGAAATTTCAGGAATCTCGGAACACAAAACCAGCCCGAAAACTATTTCTCCAGAATTTTTTTTTAAATCTAGCAAAAGTTGTTCAAATTTAGTCACAGATTATCATTCTTTTTCTCGGGCCGAAATAGTCTGAAGTTTCTTTGAAGCCCCAAAAATAAAATGTGCAAATCGATATATATAGAACCATGTGGTATGCATGCATCCAACAAAATATATACATTTATGTAGCTTCAGTCAACCGACCAAATAGCAAAAGCAATATAGAAAAAGTATTTCCATCACTGGAGAGGGCATCCCCATCCCCTCTATTTTTTTATAGGCTACCTAAATAGTTTATAATTTATAAATATTTTTTATAAAAATTGAAAGATAAATATATTACTTCATAAACTGCAAGTTCAAATTTAATTATTTTTTTTATAATTTCTAGAAATTAAATTTGACCATGCATTTTTTAGTTTTTTTTGAAGTGATATATATTTTCTCTTGTCTATTCTTTTTCAAAAAATGATAATGGGGACGTTCACTCGAGAGATAAAAATCCATCTCGGCAATATATACCACTACTGCACTAGCATATGAGTTGATTAACTCCCTGCAAAATCTTGCCCTGAATTTTTCTAGAAAATGGGTAAACTTGCCCTGAATGGATTAATGACAGGTACGTGGAGCAGCTGTCGAAGAGCCTGTACGTGGAGTACAAAGGGAAGGGGATCGACGTGCAGCTGCAGGTGCCCTTCTACGTCCACACAAACATGCTCTCCGCCGCCATCAAGGACAGGATGCTGCTGCCGGCGTTCGTGGCGACGGCCGACGACTACACGCGGGCGGCGGCGCGGTGGGTGGGGCACGGCCACATCGCCGTCCCCGACGCCGGCCAGCAGCTGCAGTGGTTCCTCGCCGCCTTCGTGCCGGACTTCGCCCACGACTGGTATCGCCTCCGCAAGCACCTGCAGCACCGGGCCATCCTCTGGAACCTCATTTAATTTCATCCATATTTTGGCCCTGTTTGGATATAGGGAAGTTTAGTCTGTCACATTAAATATTTGGGCACTAATCTTGAGCATTAAATATACACTAATTACAAGACTAATTACACAGATGGAGGCTAATTTGCAAAATGGATCTATTAACCCTAATTAGTCCATAATTTAACAATGTAGTGCTACACTAAATAAGTGCTAATCATAGATTAATTAGGCATAATAGATTCGTCTCGCCAAGTAGCCTCTATCTGTGTAATTAGTTTTGTAAGTAGTCTGTGTTTAATACTTCAAATTAATGTTTAAATATCTAATGTGACAGTGACGAGCTAAAGTTTAATCACTAGATCCAAACAAGCCCTTAACTGGCAGAAAATTTTTTTTTACCTCAAATCTCTTGAACAATCCACCAGTCAATCAAGCAATATATATGCATTTTTATTTTCTTTTTGCATATATAGTTGTTGCATATATGTTAATGGTTTAGTGTGGCGATGAAGTTTGTGAGTGTGTTACTCCACCAACTAAGGTTTAAATAATGATCCCTGATGTATATATAAAATATGGTTCTGTACATGTGTCCTTTTAATTATTGATATGTACTTCCTCTGTTTCACAATGTAAGTCATTCTAGTATTTCCAACATTTATATTAATGTTAATGAATCTAGATAGATATATATATGTCTAGATTTATTAACATTAATATAAATGTGGAAAATGATAGAATGACTTACATTGTGAAACGGGGGAGAACGTGTTATCCTTCCAAGTTATCCTTCCAATACTACTTGTCCTTGCTCATCATGCATGTATGAATGCATCAAGAATTTTGGAGGTTCTCAAAATGGGTCTCATGCATGCGTGATAACTGATAAGTATATATGCATGGTCCTAACGTTGGACGTGAGGATATGTAAGTGTCCCAAGTGTATTCAATTAATTAGATGTGCATCACCATTGTTGAATTTTCTGGACAGAATGTATCGTGCTACGTACTATAGAGCTCAAATTAAATGTCCACCACGAGTTAAACATTGATGTGATGGATTTTCGAAAGAAAATAAATATGTATGAATGTGATATCCCAACAGTGGAATTTTCCCCTACAAATTGCAATATGGAAAAAAAAGAGAGAAATATTATGATCTACAGAGATTTCATATAATTTAAGATGGACTGGGATTATTGAGTTGACTGCTGAGTGTCCGTACGTTGCAACGGATGGAAAAGCTATACATCAATTTGAATTTCAAATTACACCGATTAAAATGATGTCAAATAATCATTGAGTTAGTTTGTTCTAACGAAATTTAGAGTAGCACAAACACTAATTATGCCATAACTTTACAGTCTTCATATATTAGTAACAAAGAACAGCGAAAACAGTTGAATAAAACGCTCGTAAGGAGGCGCAACCACGTATATAAATATTTCAAATGATTGTTCTCATTATTGTGGTTTAAAATTAATTGTATGGGTCGTGAAACTGAGACAGCGTTTAGTTCTTTGGTCAAAATTTTTTTAAAGTACATAGACACACATTTGAATATTAAACGTAGACTAATAATAAAATAAATTACAGATTCCGCCTGTAAACTGCGAGACGAATATATTAAGCCTAATTAATCCATCATTAGCAAATATTTGCTGTAGCATTATATTATCAAATCATGACGCAATTAGGCTCAAAAGATTCATCTCGCAATTTACATGCAAACTGTACAATTGATTTTTTTTTCATCCATATTTAATGCTCTATGCATGTGTCCAAACATTTGATATGATATTTTTAGTCAAAAAATTTTGGGAACTAAACACACCTGAATAGGCAAAACCATCCATAGACATTACAAATAATATAATTTTCCAAACTCTTTTCAGTGGATTGTAATTTTGGTACTGATGAAGTTGATTACAAATCTTTGTATATTCCACAAAAACTAATATATGCCTCGTATGAAATGGGTGACAAACTATATTAGTTCTTCCTGTTGCAGTCATGAAAACACCAAATTGTATCCCTGACCACAAGCCCGCATGCAGAGCAATATCTTCTGACTACAACCAACATTTGCAGCCTCCAAATATTGATGATCAGCTAAACACAACTAAAAACCAACAAAGAAGCTGGCAAAATCTCTCAACAATGGCCTGCATTTTTAAAATGAAGTAAAAACACACACTTACGGTGGCGGGGAGGTACGGGGGCGACAGATCTGGCTCTGGTGACGATCCAACCCTAGCCCCCTACACCTCCACGACAATGAGGACAAGGTCAACAACGGCATCGAGCAACGACGGGGATGACGAGGAGGGTGGCGGCGGCTTCTAGGGTTAGGGTTTCATGATTTTTGTTTTTTATTTTTTTTTTGGATTTTTATTTTTGCGTGTGGGCTACGTAAGCACCGCACGCGAAAATCAAGCTTTCGCGTGCCGAGTAAGCAAATAAAAAGGTGACAAATGAGTAAGGGGTAGCGACTGGCGTGGCTTTTCAAAACTATAAAATTATTAGAATCACGGGAATGATAATTTTAAATAAAACCATGTGTAAAAAATAGATAACTTTAAATTGATGCTAGTCGCGCAATTGCGCGGGCCACCCAACTAAATCTCCATTAATTTGTTGTTCAAGAAATCTGAGGCAGAGGGGCTGATGCGAGAACTCATGAGCATTCCAAATAGTACAGATGGCCATAAGGCCCGAGGCCCGACAGCCCAACCCACGGCATAGCCATTTGGCCCGGCCCAAGCATGGCACGGCACGACGGGTGTCAGACCCATGCCAACCCGACCCGATAGTTGGGCCGTGCCTTAGCACGGTGGACCGGCACGACACGGCACGGTCAAAGAAAAATAGTTAAGGGACCTCAAATAGACTTAATGTAGCCAAATAAGATGCAGCCCAAAGAGAAGAGGGACACAAAATAGACTTATTCTAACTATATAAGGCACAACCCAAAGATATGAGAGAGGTAAAATAGATTTATTTTATGGAAAAGCATGATAGGTTATCGTGCCTTCGAACCGGCTCAACACAACCTGAGTCTTATTGGGCCATGCCTGATCCGCGTGTGTAGCCCGTGGACAGGCATGGCTCGACCCGACTCACCTCGGCCCAGGCCTGGATGTGCCTAGGCCATGCCGGGCCGGGTGGCCTATTTGGCCATCTATACCCAATAAGTGTCAATGTTTGCAGACGACGTGGTCCGGCCTGTTCATTTCCCCTGTCGTGGCCGATCGGTGGGCCACCAAAAGAGTTTCTTGCAATCTTCGCCAAGGCATCTGGATTGAAAGTGAACTCTTGAATAGTAGTTATCTTTTGAATAATAGTAGTTTATATAACCCATTTTTTATTATTTTTCCTGACGAAGTTAAAATGCGGTTGCCATTAATTTTGTAACCACTTCATACAGCTTATCGCATCGTCGGCTAGCTATCAGTGTACCACGCATCATCCTACCTAATTCAGAAAATTATAATAAAGGAATTTAAAGGAGGTGAATTAATACACGAATAAAAATTGAAAATATACATTATTTTTAAACTTTTCTAGTTATAAATATGTTTTTGGAAGAATAGTGAAAATGTACACACGTGTCGTGGCATGCGAACGCGCTACCATGGTTGTTTGACGTGGCCGGCCATGCGCCACCGTCGGTCCCGCGGTTTAGCCTCGCGCCACCTAGTGCAGCCGACTAATGTAACTACGTTTTTTTTTTCAAAAACAACGAATTATCATTAATCTAGCTTCTATACCCACGAAGGATATACACAGCCAAAAGGATATAAGAGCATTTAGACTCATACCTCAACAAGGAGGAGAACACTCCACCAAAAAAGAAAAGACACTTGCTTCTCTGCTTCCCGACATACTCTCATAAGACGGTCAGACTTGGCGAGTGGAAGTCGTCTAGTCGTCGCCGCCCCTAGTGTGTCATCGTTGCCAACCTCTGTTGGTACCATCTTCATCCGCTTCAGGTAAGCTAATGTCACACGTCCCCAGTTAGCCCACTTTTATCCGTCGTTGTTCGGCGTTTAGTCAAAACTAGCAAACTCGACACGAGCCGATGGGGTCGGCTTCCACTTCGCTAAATTCATAGGCTTCCGCCGCGCGCCCATAGGGCCACCGTCGTCATCGGGGGATGTTCGTCCGCCTTCCAGACTCCCAGCCCACCGCTGCCCTAGGTCCGCCACTGTCGTCAGGACCGACCTTCGCCTGCTCTTCGCTGAGAGCTCTGCGCCAGTTCTTAGGCCACCGCCATGGTCGACCTCATCTTGCTCCTCGCCAAGAACCTTGCACCGATGCTCAGGCCACTGTTGGGGTCGACCCCCGCCTACTCCTCGCCGAGAGCCTTGCGCTAGTGCTTAGGCCACCACCCCTAGGGTTGCCACCGCCACTACCTATGGACCACCTGTCATGGACTAGCCATAGAAACTTAGGCCACCGTCGTCCGAAATGACTTCGTCGTTGATGCCTCGCTTCTACCTTCCGTCCTCGCGACTACCTCATGCCATCACCAACTTGCATGACCATGTGCCGGCCTGGCCATATCCGCGGTGCTGCCCAGCCAGCCAAGGTCACGAGAGCGCCTTCAGGAGCAAGCCATCGAAGGCGACAGTTAATGGGGCGCATAGGATGGGGACGGTGAAAGGGCCGCCGGGGAGGAAGTTGCCTGGGATCACCCTGGCGTGTGAGGTTTTCACCCATCCTCGCAGCCACTTGTATTTTCAACTTAGTTTTTTAGTGTCGCTTTTCTTTGCGGTTTTCGCCTTTAGCCAGGCGATGCCCTTTTTTTAAAGCCATTCGGTGTCCATTGTTCCTTTTAATATGTATAAATTGAAATCTGCTTCGCCCATGTTTGTTCTTTTCGAAAGGAGAACTTTTTCTCAAGGCATGTGTTGGTTGAATGTTTCCTTTCACAGGTTGTACTTCGAAAAGTGTACGTTCGACCCCCTCTGAAAGAGTGGCGAAGCGCGAACTTAAAAATCGCAGCGAACAAGGGCTGGCCCAAAATGAGATACCCACGTGCGCCTGTTCATCGCGAGATGATCATAAATGGACATATCTACCCGGTGTTGAAAGTAGCGAAGTGGATGCAAAAATATCCCAGGTAAACCCTTGAGGACTTCAACCACAACTATTGCCAACGCCGCGAATATATATATTTGTTCTGGCGAAATTTCACTATGTACGAACGTCAGGCCGCTATCGCCCAGCGTTGATAAAACATAGTTTTGTGTTTTGCCACTTTATGTTTTTTTATGTGAACAGCGATAGCGAAACTAGTTCGCCCGACCTAAGGAGTAGGTATGACTTTTCCAGTCAGTTTGTGGGGTTATCCGTTATTGTAACTTTCCAAACTCCGAAGCGCATGCTTCGCCAGGGGAAGCTGGTCCTTCCGGCAAAGCAGAGTTGGAGCATGAATGCCCTATGGCAGGTGATGTAATTTATTTGTAATTTTTCAAATTTATGAATAAAGCATGTTTGGATCAATCCCTCGGCGGGTGCTAGTTGCAAATCCGACACCAAAGACTGATTCCCAACCGGCACCAAAATGGTGTTCTTATATGTTT